AGGTTCAAACTTTGCTGGTGTATTAAAAGAAAATACAATAGAACTTATCCATCTATTGAATAGTATTTGTGAAAAAGCGAGAAAAAAGAAAAAAGAACTATGGATTCTTTTTAAAAATACTGCTAAGGCATATGACACAATATCTCTCTTTATTCTTGAAAAAGCTATAGATTAAATTCAATTCCAATAACTATCAAGAGATTATAATAGATCTCTTCAAAGACAGAAGTTGTAACATTATTCTTCTCAATGGACTCTCTAATCTAATAGTTGTAGAAGATAGTATAGATCAAGAAAAAATGATCTCTTCACTGTTATGGAGAATTTTTTATGATCTATTATTATGTAAATTTTAAAATAATACTACACTGGGTATACTATGGAAGAAGAATGGTCATCCAATTTTCATAAACTTGAGAAAAAGACTAAGCTCTCTCTAAGGCAGATAGTAATTGTATATATGGTTGATATAACCTGAATTGCCAAATTAAAAAAAGACCTGAAAAGTATTTTAAAAGAAGAAAAAAAGTTTTACATGGCAAATGATTCACAAATTAATATAACAAAGTCAATTTCCCTCACCATTAATTGAAATCCTCAAGACTCTGGAATGGTTCAAACTAGAATAGAGAATACTATAGTTTATAAGATCAACAAAAAGGATCAAGCCAGATTCCTTGATATTTGATTAAGACCAAAACAGAAAATCAGAATATTATTAGTTCAATAAAATCAGAAATCAGTATAGTAGTTTAGGCAATAACTAAAAAGAAGTTGATAGAAAAACATGTTAAATATGTTATCAATAGAGTTTTGATTCCAAAAATAGAATATAGAATGCAATATATACACCTGAATGAGAAGATATGTAATGACCTAACAGCTATATTCAGAAAAGTTTTCAAGAACAAAGCTTTAATTTATGTAACAATTCCAAGCAGTTATATCCAAAATAAAGAAATATATAGTCTTAAAAGTATTTGAGAAATACAGTTGAAAAGCCATATATCAGCACTATTCTGCCAACTTAACAATAGTAAATCCCCTGGTATAGTAACTATAATCTGATTGAAACAGAGTCAGATCAAAGGCTAGAAATCTAGAAATATCTTTGATAATCCTGTAAACCTATACAAGTTGATCAAAGGCAATCTGGCAGCTGCAACATTGGCCCTGACCAAAGATCTCCAGATTACGTTCCAAAGTTAGAGATGAAAAGAAATCTTTAACTATCAGGGAGGTATTCTATCTATTAAGTCAATCCTATAAAATGATAGAGAATATGAAAAAGCCATTCCATCACTACATAAGCATAAAATCATATTTCTAGATCAAATTATCAATATAACCTGATGACACTTAAGGAATAGAGAGCAATTCAGATTCTCTTTAGCAAGTGTAAAGGACCTTGTCCTCTCTTGATACAAAAAGATTGTGAAAAGGTAGCAGATAATCAAGACCACTTTAAAAAAATCATTATATGAACTAGATTGGACAGGCTATAACATACAAACTGAAATATTTTCAATATATCCAGATAAGAGAAAAATATACTAGGCAGTTTACTCTAGCTTTTCAATTAATATATTAGAAAAAACATCATTCTCAAATAACAAAATCCAGTTCACTTCATATTAGTCATTATATAATTCTATTAAAAATATATGTTACTTCAATCAAATAGATTATTTCAAGCCTTAGAAGTAGTTTTATTATAAATTTGCTTCCTCTTACAACTAAATAAACATAAAAATCTGAGAAAAAAAAAACAAGTTCTTCTACCAGACAATCCCATAGATTGACAAATAATTACAAGACAACAGACATCAATTCTATCTATTTTCAGACCTGTAGAAGTGGAAATCCCAGTAGAAAACTGGGAAACTGTACTAATAAGACAAGCTATCCAATCAGATGAATATATAGAAGAATTTACAAATATTCTGCAATACAATAAAAAGAGCATGGCTAATCAATTCACTTTTTATATAGATAGCTCCTATAAAAAATAAATAAAAGATAGTGAGCTTAAAATAGAGTTTGCTTGAGTTCTAATAAAGGATGGCAAAATTGAAAAACAATTCTTAGCAGGAATATTGACATGGCTATCGATAACTAGGACAGAAATATTGATCATCCTTATTATACTATTCAATGCTCCTTAAAATATAACAATTTTAATCTTCACTAATTGTAATATTGTAGTTAAGAAATGAAAGTCCATCAGTTCACAAATAGAGATATCAACAAGAAGATGGACAAAGATTATCAATTGGCCAATATATTGTAAGATCAAAGATTTAGTAAAAAAGAAAAATTTTATCGTAAAAATTACAAAGATCAAGACTTATGGGATCAATAAGTTCAATAATTAGGTAGATCTACTTGCTAAACAAGCTAAATGTAAGAATCCAATAATCTAAAATCAACTATTAGAGTTAGGAAAAGTTTTTACAATAGCTACATAGAGTGAATATATAATAGAAATTAATATTAGAGAATTTGGTAAAATATTTAACAGAAAAAGAATTGAAAAGACTGGACAGGACAGAAAAGGATTCAAAAACTATAGATTCAAAAAGATAAAATAATAGATTGGTTAATCTTCTGAAATCAATTCAATCTATCCAATACCTTCAATATCTCTTTCAAAGCTAATAAAAACTAAAGCTTTCTAACTAATTTAATTCACAATAAACTTCCAGTACTGCAGATATTCAAGAAAAAGAGATCAGATATTTATATTATAATAACTTGTCCAGTATATGGACTTAAAAAAAAGATATTAAAACATTTTTTCAAATATCTAGCCATCAAAAAAGCCAAAGAAGATATATAGCAAAAAGCAAAAGAGAAAATTAATCATTATATCTATAACGAAATTAAAGATAAGAAAGAAGTTCATACTACAACTGATAATTGGACAAGTAGATAGCTAGATGTGATCAAGCAATTTGATAGAAACCTTTTCAACATTATTTGTGAATACATAAAAGAAAATGAAATTAACTTTTTAAAGAATTACCTCAAAGCACAATCTAAAATTTCTTCAGTATCCACACAAAACATAATTAATAAGTTTTGTTGTAAAATAAGAAAAAACTTCAAAGAGAATATCTGGAATAGCTATTGTATTAAAGTAATAGAGTGGGAAAAAAAGTAGAATATTACTGAAAAGGACAAAAGATTTAAAAGATTTGGGTATAGATCAAATGCATAGACTATATAAGAACTGAAAGAATCTTTAATATCTTTAGAAGATCTAAAGGAGAAAGCTTTTAAAAGAAAGAAGAGAAAGAATTATATGGAAATTATTAAGAATTGGATTTATTATGGTACTAAATGGCTTGGTTTTTAATTGCAGATAGAATTTAGAATAATCTACAATAATGATCTATAGGCAATAATTTTATTAATTAAAGGATTTATCCAAATTAGTAAAGGAACAAAATATTATTTCCTAAGTTGCATCTAGAGAAATAGGTTTTTAATATGGGTGAGTTAGTATGTGAAAGTCAAAATATCTTATAAATATCCTTGTATATATACAATAAAGATATGTTATACTGACCTGACTGTAGGTTAAAAAAAAATAATAATAATAAATTCTTTTTATTAATCTTTTAATAATATATAAAAAAAATATTTATAAAAATTTTTACTACTTTTTTGTTAATAAATTTTTAACATTTTTCTTAAAAATTCCAAAAATTATATCTATCCTTCTTTACTTATTTATAATTTTTTTTATCAAAATTTGATTTTTGATAATTAAGAATAAATCAGGTAATACCTTTGATATTAATAGTAAGAAAGTTTCTAAAGAAAAAAAAAACCAATATAAAGTATTTGAAAATTTTTTAATCTTTAAAATATATTATATAAAGATTTATTATTATAAAAAGATTTGTTTTTTTTTTTTAAAAAAAAAATGACTGGAAAAATAATTTAAAAAAAAGTATTTTTTAAATATTACAAGTTTTTAAAAAAGATATCTATAATATCAAGTTTCTTAAATAATAATAAAATTTTATTCAATAAAACTACTTTTTTTAAGCTATTTAATTTGATGCATGCTTAAATAATGAATTTATTGATTGACTATTCAAATATTATATATAAAGATAAAAAGGATCTCTTTTAAGATTCAAGCTAAAGTAAGAAAGATATTTCAATTAAATAAATCTTTTTCAAGATTATTTATTTGATTACTTTTTGAAAGAAACAAATTACTTTTCTTATTTCTTTTTTTTCTTTAACCTTAACAATTTATAATTTTTTGAATTAATTAATAATAACAAATTGTTAACAATGATCCTAATAGATGGAGATAAATTCAATTTAACTAGAAAAGCATAATATTATCCTCAATCAAATCAAAACTTCTCAATAAAGATAAGCCAGATGGGTTTAAAAAAACCTCCCCAAAAAACAAAATACTTGATTAAGGTCCTGTATCTTTCACAGATTAAATACAGTAAATTGAATTTATCCGTGATAATCTATATCTGGCGATCGCACTTAAATTTCAAATAGTAAAACCACTCGTAACGGGAAAGCTCATATTTTCAATTATGTCACTTCCACCATGGCCTTCCGATGTCGACTGCGGACAAACTAACCCTTTATCCGGTTTTATGAAACACTTTTCGCAGGACAGATCTTTACAACAGGTGTGCATAAATCACCCTTTAATCTATATATTTCTGCCTTTACTTACCCCTAACTTTTCTAGGATAGATTCTTTGATCAACCTGGAGAAGGTTCTTCTAAAAGGGTACAAATAGTTTGATACTTTATAATCTGCTTTTTTATATAATATATTCCTGAAATTTTTTTTCCTAATCGCTTTAGGAATTCAGGTCACGCACGCATGTTGAGTCGAAGGATGTTGAGGTGAGTAACTGAAGTTATCGTCTAATCCTGTAGAACTTTTCCTAATGTTAACTTATTCAATATAGTATGCGCAAAAATTTTTCCAAGAAGCGTCTAATATACAGGATGTATATGATTTTGATCAAATTGGAAACGAACTTGAGACGATCAGACAGAGCGTAGTACAGAATGGTGGAAATTGGGTTGCAGATTTCGCAAAACTTCATAATTCTTCACAGATAGAGAATTTTAATGGTCCGGGTTCTTAAATCAAGATTATGGTTTCTTGTAGGTTTCACATCTGATATTAACAAAACTTATTATAATAGATGGTTGGGTTCATGAATATGCGAAATTCGATCAGCCGTTAACGAAACCTAATGACTGGCAACCAAGCGAATTTAATACCTTTGAGAAGGCCTTCAATAATGTTGATAAAGGTATTGGTCGAGTTCAGTCAAATAATAAATATAAATATATCTGCGTGCATCTTTAATCTGACCTTTTTAGATGTAAACTGGGAAACTGAATTTATTGCACAGGAGAAATCATGGGAGTCCGAATTTAATGACCAGGAGCAACAGAAAAATAATAATTCCGGAATAGACGTTGATTCAGACGTTAAATTATCTATAAATGCCGGCAAAATAGTTCAATCGGTCTCGGGTGAAACTAATCCAAAATTCAAGAATTCAATGTTTATGAATCTCATGAGGAAACTACGAGATAATGAAGTACACATAGAAGGAAACAAATTTGTTGAACAAAAACTTCCAGTTTCTAAAGTTGATTGGGTTAGTGAGTTTGAAGCTCGTCACAAAGATGCATGGGCTTCCGAATTTGAAGACCGTCAGGAGAATTCATCCAACAGTTGGTCACAAGAATTTACGGAAAATTATATTAGCGAGAAATCTTTTGATATTTCCAATAAGGAAGAAAGTCGGACATTACATAAATTTGAGCCAACCGCAAATCCGAAAGATTGGGCTTTCGAGTTTCAACAATCGAGAACACCGGAGTTTAATGTCACAAAGAATTCAGGCACTTTGCTAAAAGATGACATGGACTCGTCCTGGGAAGAATACTGCAGAGATTTGGATGAATTTCAACCTTATAGTATGGGTTATAAATCAAAAAAGATAGACTACAATTACGAGTTTCAACAAGATAACCCTTATTTGAACCGTTCAAATCTTTTGCATGAAATCATAGTACCAGATCGTATGGTTAAAGATTCTATATTAGCCTTAGAAGCGGCTGTACAATTAGACCCGAATAACGCGGGCACTTGGCATCAGTTGGGAATTAAACAGCAAGAAAATGAACAGGAATCACAAGCAATCGCCGCTTTGCGAAGGTCTGTCGCTCTAAATCCTCGTATCTTGGATTCATGGCTTTCCTTAGCTGTTTCTTACACAAACGAATCTTGCTATGGGGAGGCATACAATAGTCTAGAATCCTGGTTTCACAATCACACGAGATACAAGCATATTCTAGAGAATCAGCAGGTCAAGGAACGGACTTCCAATGATCATAAATTCTTATCAGATGCGCTGATACAAGCAGCAAGATCAAATCCTGGAGAAAACTTGGACCCAGATGTTCAAATTGGGTTAGGAATTTTATATAATATTTCGAAAGAATATAATAAAGCTGTTGATTGTTTTCAAAGCGCACTCTATAAAAGACCTAATGTAAGCTATGTAATTACGTGCGAATAATTCGACTTGTTTGAACGTTAACATAATTTGTTTCCAATAATTAGGACCATCTCCTTTGGAACAAACTCGGGGCGACATTAATTAATGATGGAAAGTCAGAGCATGCATTAGATGCATACACTAAAGCCCTTAGTATAAATCCATTTTATGCGAGAGCTCATTTTAACATTGCTAGTGTTCTCACAAAAATGGGAAGAAACATGGAGGCTGCTCAACATTTGCTTACCGTATTATCATTGCAAATTGATCAGAATAGGAACGATGTTAAGGACACGAAATCTATTTCCGGAATGAGTAGGAACATTTGGTGTACTTTAAAGGTTTGTTGTGAAATGATGAATAGACCTGACCTTGTATTAAAATGTGATACAAGAGATATAGAAGGTTTTAAATCGGAATTCAAATTTTGAGTTTGAAAAAATATATATAGAATATATCAATTACACTTATTCGATTGTTCAATACAAAATGTAATACATAATAATAATAAACATTCTATTTATTATGAAATATTTCTGCAATAATTTTAGGCGAAATTCGTTTTTTTTTTTTTCAATTTATTTATTATGCAGATGATCCACATGAATTGGGTTTAACAATGAAAAAAAAATAAGTATTTCTTCCTAACCGATCTCCATATTTATCTTTTCCTGCTTTTTCCTTTTTCCATTCGACTTTACCGGATTTTTGTTATACCTACATTCAGTAAAAGCTGCATGAATATAGTTTCATTAAGAGTTAAACCACGGGAAATTTTCACTAAGGCTACCTGCAAAGGCTTGACCCACATAAACATTCAAAGCCATCTTCAATTTTATAATCAAATGTGAGTTCGGTCAAAGCCGGTATATTCCTCTGAGCAAAAAATGCCAGTCTTTGAAATCTTATATCCTTATATTCCACAAAAAACTATAAAATTAAATAATATCGGAGGAAGAAATTAACCAAAATAATCATAATTAAGTAAAAAAATTTTGATAGGCAAAAAAAAAAAAATAAAATAAAATCTTTTTTTTACTGGAATAGTAATCAGATTAGGATTGCAGGAATGGTTTAAAAATCTGCTAACATTGCACCAGTAGTTCGAGTCCACACTAGACATTAATGTAACTCATAAATATCTTAAAATTTTTTTCACAAATGACAAACAAAAAATTTCTTACCAAAGAACACTGGATTTTCTGCTTTCATCAAACCCAAAATCGAGATCGAAATATGTCAACATATCTAATTTTCCGTAACACACTTCCCGTAATTTTGCTGTTCTTGACTCAAGTATTTCTCCAACATGCTCCATTACAAATGAACCTTCCTTAATCGCTGCCAGAGTTCTAACCCCCCAACCTTTATTCGGAGTTTTAAAAATCTTCAATAAGTGCAAAAGCTCTTGTTAATACAATGATAAAAAAAAAAAAACCACCCAAATGATGAAACGGCTAAATATTATACTCACCTCAAAGTTACTATTGTTTTTTATGCTATTTTGAATGACTCGGAAGGGACATGTATTATTGCATTTGCAATTTGAATTGCACTCATATATCGGCCCAATATCCGATCGGATTAACCTCCCGTTTCTAATAGGATATCCATCTATATAATATTAAGAAACGCTTATATCCTTGCATAATAATTAATGATTATTAATGTACATATATGTAGATACCTTCATTATCCTTTGCGCAGGAACATTTTTTATCCTATGAAATTAGATGTCAGAAACTTTAAAACTCCATGTGTAATTAATAATCGTCATCTACCTGACAATTATCCTCACAATCACATCCATAATTAAAATCATCGTCGGGACTTTTCACCTTCCAATTGATCAGATTCTCTAAAGTATACTTTTAACAAAATCAAAAAATCTGTTAATCAAAATTTAGCATAGAAGGCACTAAATTCACAACACGAACCTTCAAATACGGAATAACATCATTATCAACACTATTATGGACTTTATATGGCTGATAGGCTTGCGGCGGTAAGACATTCTTGTCCCATAATAAAGCAAATGAAGGATCGAAATCTGCAAGATTGCGTTCAATGTTCAACAAATCCATGTAATGATGAGTTAGTGTTCTGGAAATAAACGGTTTGGATGTATTTCCAAACTCGCAAATATCATCTTCAGTTTCTCTTTTATTCGGCTAAAGTTGGAAAAAATTTAATATGAACATAGTTTATAAAAAAAATGACTTTATCATTAAGGATATCTTAAATTACCAAGAATAAATCACTAATTTTCTTCACGACTTGTGGCGGTCTATAAATGATAGCGCTCTTTAGACAAAATTATAAAATGATAAGTAAGCAACGTTAGCAAGAAATGAGTATAAATATTTTAATCACTTACAATTGCCTGGATTCCAGTAAGAGAGTAAGGAAAAGCCGCGACGTACGATTTTATCAGAGAATACTCTTCTTTTGTAATTGGCAACTGCTGGGAAGAGTTTCTTGAACAAAATTAAAATACACAATATAAGGATAATCAAACATTAAATACATTTACAATGTTTGTGTTAATAAACAAACGTCTAACATTCAGTCTAATTTGAAAAGTTCCTAACGCAATTCTCTTACTTTATTTTCTCTCGGTGAAGAACCCATTGCCACGAAGTAAAATCTTCATTTAGTCTCTTATTCCAAGCTTCATTGAGATGCACTATAGACTCCAAATTCTTTAACCACAAATGAATTATATGTGGCGTGAAGTACTGTTTGATAGAGGATGGTTGTACTCGTATGGAGGGAGGCAAGGACGGTAAGGATATATGAGAAGAGTTGGATGATATCGGCGCGTGAGAATCATTGGAATGAGTTAAGGAATCTTGGATCTGTGCCTTGGATGCCCTCGATTTTATCGGACTGAGTCTAGTTCGAGAATTTTTAACTACCGATTTATTGGAGGGAATTGGTGGAACCTTCATTACTCAAGAAATTTGATAATTAATTTTGACAGTTTCGCGTTTGCTACTACTCTTAACAAAATAATGATCAACCAATCAAGTTACATATTTTATTACTAGTGCAAGCCCAATATAAATCTTATTGATTAAAATCATATACAGTACATATTGTATTTTAATAAATTTTGAATCAATAGCTCAAGTAATAAAATTTTAACTTTTCAAATAAAAGTTTTTATTTCAAATCCATTAAAAAACCATTATTATTATTTTTTTAACTTGCAATCATGTCTCGATGGCTTGTTTTTATTGAGAAATTAAAATAAAATCTATAATAGTTTATAAACTTTTACTAAGTGACTAACTGTCTTTATACATAAGTACTCTAAGTCAGATTTTAGGAATAATATTACATCAAAATCTGACTTAGAGTACTTATGTATGAAGACAAATTAGATTTTGATGTATATTGTTTCTATTAAAAAATCATTTATAAGAACTATATATTATATTATAACAAATTTATATTTTATTGAATAATAATAATAAAATTTTTTTTTGATTATAATTCTTTCCGCTAATTCTCTGATCACATACAAAAAAGATGTTCGCAAGAAGTTTCTATTCTTCTTTGCTAATAAAGTCTTAATACTTTTATTAAAACAACTTGAAATATGACTTCAAAAGTCACCTTTATTCTTTTCCTTTTGTTTACAAATCTCTTCACTCAAAAACTTGACTTCTAATAATCAAGAAAAATCAAGTAACACCTTTGATATCAATAGCAAGAAAGTTTTCAAAGGAAGAAGAACTGACTGTGAAGTATTTAAAGATCTATTTAATCTTTGAAGCAAAAGATATATAGAGGTTTTTGATGACAGAAGGGTTTATTTTTCCCCTTCCAGTTACTTGTAGACCTCTTAGAGCTATTGCTTTCATAGTTTTTGGGGGAATTTTACCTACCTCAGTTTGACCCTGAATTTTTGGTAACACAAATCCTCACCAAAGGTAATTGGTTGACATGAAACATATTAATTTTTGAAATGTAAACAAGCTCCTATTGATCACATTCACATGTTCTGATAATATCATTGGTGATTAGAAAAAAGGTTCTGAAAATGATTGCTCTCAAAAAGCTCAAGTCCCTCAATAAAAACTTTCATGATACCAAAAGACCAAGTGATGGATAATGTGGATTACAAACTCTTATCTCTTACCTAAGTTCCTCAAGTGATGACAAAGCTTTAATAAAAAAAAGTTGAGGTCTAAATGCTTTCCTTGAGATATTCCAATCCTATACTCACTTAAATGAAAGACCAGTTAAATTAACTCATCCGATACTGCAGGTGGTGAAAAAAAATATTTCTTCTGAGATTCAAGTAAAGCAAGAAGACTATTCCAATCAAGTAAATCACTTTTGAGAAGAGGTTGTTTTTATTTTTGAATTTTTTTGATGAATCTTGAATTGTTCCCTTTTTTCAATCATTTTTTCCCTTTCCCTTTTTTAACTTAGCAATTTATTGATTTTTGGGCAATCAACAGTGACAAACTATTGACAATGATTCTGGTAGATAAAGGTTATTACCAATCTATTAGGGGAGTGAAATATTGTTCCCAAAATCTAACTTAGAATATTTTTATATGAAGCCAAATTAGTTACTTTGTAAAAGTTTGTAAAATATTGTAAATTCATTTTCAATTTTTCAATAAAGACACACTATTGTGACATGATTGTGAATTAAAAAAAAAAATAATAATAATAATAATAATAATTTTTTCTCTCTTTTAGGTTAGTTATATATGTTTTATTAAACATTTATAAGCTATATATATCAAATGAAATATTAAAGCTAATTCTCTAACTAACTCACTTATTTTGATTATTTTATCTCTTTAAGTGTAACTTCAAAAGTGATTTTTTACTCCATTAGAAGTTCAGGTGAAAACCTTTTCAACTTCTAATATCATTGCCTACAAGTTACTATTGCAGATCACTCTTTTAAGCTCTGACAGAGATCAAAACCCTAATTACTTCATACCATACTTTATATTATTTAATAGAATTTCTTCCAACTTCTTATCTTTAATTCTTTTTTCCTCGTATATCAACTTCTTATTAGATCAGCTTTTTATACTTTTACTCTTTCTTTTTTGGTTCCATAGATATACTAGTTTCTTAATTTTGTTATATTTGCAGATTTCTAATATCTGTTTCTATTCAATCCCCTTTTCACATCTCATATTTCATATTTTTTTTCAGAAATGGTTACATATTTTTTTTTGTATTTTTATTATTCATCTTTTTACCTCTTTTTCAATACTCTTACTGCAACACATCAGATCAGCTATTCTTATAATTAGATCTTCCTTTATTAGTTTCATACAGAAGCCAAGTATATCCTGACTAGTTTTTGAGATCCTTTCTATAAGTTTGCTATCAGTTTGTCAATTTTTTCTATTTCTATTCTATCATTTATCTTTAAATTTAACTCTTTTTCTTTGGATTCTTTTTTCCTTTCTTTTGAGAGTTTTATGAATCCTTTGATAATTTCTTCTATTTCTTTTTGCCATATCTCACTTCACTGAGTCTTGTAAGTTGGATATTCTAGTAAGTGTTCTATTTTCTTCTTTTCTTGACCACACATAATTAAATTTGAGTTCCTAAAAGGAGAGATAGGGATAAAAATCAAATGTCCCTTACTAGGAAATATTAAAATATTTAAATTAAAAACTATTAAAAAACTACTCACAATTGTTCTCTATTATTCAAATCATTGATTTATAGTATTTCCTGACTTTTGTTCCTATTAAAGTAAAGAGCTATGAATTTTGTTTCTCAAAAAAGAATATAAATGATCTGTGAAATTTTATGCTAAATACTTTAGGGATCTATTATTACATATAATATATTTCACTTGCTTATACAGATCTAGTCTTCTTAGAGCCAGCTTAGTTAATATCAATAACTTATTATTGATTAATTTAATGAGAAAGCATTTGTTTTGTGAGCTCTTAAAAGAGGTATTCCATGTATATTTATTCTTAGATTGTTCCTATATTAAATTCTATATATATTTGTGTTGATCTTGGATTTGTTGGTCTTATCTCTTTTCAGTTCTGCCTTGAGTTGTCCATTGATAGGCTATTATTTTATTGTTTGTTTTTTTAATAGCTTGTCTTATAGAAGTATCTAGTACTATATCTTACTATTTAATTTCTATGATAATCTTGGCTAAAACTAAGTTTTTCCATTTTATCACTGGAAACCTTAGTGCTTCTTTGGTAAGAGCATCTGCTTCTTCATTATATCAAATATTAGAATGTACCTTAACCTTGATAAACTTTAGATCTAGTTTCTTTTTCTTTACAAGATTCAATATATATATCTACAAGAACCAGTTTTGTTCTTTTAATCATTTTTTATGAATTATTCTGGGATCCTCCTTTTCAATAGTTTTCCATTTTGAGATGTAGATTTTATTATCGGTAAAGATTTTGATCTTGCTATTTACTGAAGTTACTAGTAGTATAGTTACTATCACTACTAATTCTGCTCTAGTGGATGAAGGCCAATCATCTACTCTAGTTTGAAACTTGCTTTCTTTTCCTATCTCTTTTATCTGTATCCAAGCTGCTTTTATTTTCATATTTGTACTTTCGTAGTTTATAAGGGACTTGTCAGAATAGAAGATCATTGGTTTTTTTTTCTTTGTTATATTTAAGTATTTCAATCAAATGGAATTGATAGGTACCTTCTTCAATATAATTTTTGATAATATTTATTTTTTAATCCTCTATTTCAACCTATAATATTTTTTTATTTTAAGTAATTACTTAATTACAGCATATTTTTCTATATATTATTATTTTTTTCAATGCTTCTTTGAGACTTGTGATTTTTAGTAATTGAGCTCTTTTGATAGATTTTCTTGCATTGAGGTAAGAAACTATATGTATTTTTTTTATACTTGTTTCAATTATACATTGTTCTTCTATCTTTGTATCTTATATGCAACCTTGATACTGGACTAGTTTTGATTCTTGGTTTTTAATTAGACTGATACATTCAAAGTACTCTATTTTAAGCTGTCTTTTGATATTATCTAGAATCAATTTTCCCCAAATTATCTATTACTACTAAAATTTACTTCTTATAATCATTCAGAATTTCAGTCATTTGTTAAAGTTGAAGTTGAGATTAGAGTGTTCAGGATTCCATTTTATTCATTATTTTTTCTAGAATTCTATAAGCTGTTTTAATTTATTTCTCTAAATTATCTCAATTATAAATAGATACTATCCTGGAATGAATCCTTTGCTTGTTTTTTGTAAGAGTTGGAGCATTCATCAATTTTGTATTTCTCTTGTTTTATAATTAACCAGCTAATCTATATACATTAGCTTGTTGTTTCTAAGTGATAGAATTGCTTTTCTATATTATTCTATCAATAAATATTCCCTAATTGAACTGTTTACTTGGTTCCATTAAAAAATGTCATGCCTATATTCTTGATTAGCTTCAGTACTTGTAGTGAGAAATTATTTTTTCCTGAAAGATTATTTGGTAAGTTTCATGTAAGCATATTGGCAGGTTGACTTATGCTTGTTTAAGTCTAATAATTATTGTGGTTCCAACTGGTCCTAAGTTATAAATCTTGGGATAGTATATTACACCGTTGAATATTGCTCAATATAGTATGGCTTTATTTTTGAATAGTTTTCTATATACCATTGTTAAGGTATTATATATCTTTTAAGACAGTATACTATGTTGCATTTTGAATTCAATTCTTGATATTTCCACTCTATTCAAAATGTAAAGAGTTTGTTTGTTTGTTAGCTTTTTATTTTTAAGAGCTCTAATAATTATATTAATTTCATTAAGCATCTATTCATTGAGCTCAATAATTATCTTTTGGTTACCTATTCAGATCCTTAAAAATCTTGCTTGTTTCATTCTATCCAATTCTTTCACTACTTCTTTATTGACTCCTACTTGAACTTCTTTAGGATATCAGTTG